AAACCATGAATCAATATATGAACATTACCTGATGCTGGTTACAAGTTACAGAGGTTTTATTAGAGACACAGCCTAGCATTTTGTAGTTTGGCATGATTTGTAAAAGTTTACATTTCTTTGGTATTAAACAGCAGAAATTAGGCTTTCTTATTGGAGGTCATTTTTTTTTAAAAAAGGGAAAAAAACAAAACAGGGGCCGACAGCACTGAACACAACGGGAAACTGGTGCGTAATAAACAAGCGAATAATGCAGAAAATAGAGATTTTTTATGGTAAACTGGTAAATTCACGACAATGTTTTTTTGTGAAGCGTAGTTTTGACCTTCTTTTGCTGCTGGTTCAGTGAATTGGGTGGGAGTGACGAAACCTGCAGCATCAGAATCTGTGAGATGCCTCTTTCAGCACGCTATGGTGTGTCTGTGTACGTGCCACCATATTAACATGGGGATTCACACTTTGTGTTTTCATCTTTGTGCTGAATCTGCTTACTGGCTCTTTAATCATTTGCTGTTTTAGCTGTTTGGTGGTTGTTGAAATGATTTCCTGAGCTTTAACCTGAGATTCTGGCTTTACTGGCAAAATTACATTCATATTTAAAAATCACATTCTTCAAATTAAAATCGATTTGAGTCGATTTTTTAAACCCACCCCTCCTCATTCTACTCATCCATAAACTTTTTCCTCTGACAAAGGAAATGGTTTGCTTTTTTCCTGGTTTTCACTGATAAATGTCAACTCACAAGGTGAAGACTTTGTTCCACTCTGGATTGAGGTTCTTGTAAACGGTGTGTGTCTGCAGCCTGTCATTGTTCAGCTCCAGCACACAGAAAGGGTCACTTTTACCTGAGCGACCAATCAAGATAATGATAATGGATGAATCACAGTAAGAATGAAGAATAATGCAAAGTATTATGAGCAAGCAAAGGCAAGAAATCAGAGTCATTTTTTCATTTACCGGTTACATCTGCAACCATGAGACCTTCTGCTCTCATCACCTTCACCTGTACTATGCCCACATCTTTTAAGTTAAAGAATGACTTCGTCACACCCTGCACAAGAAAATTGAGCACAAC